GATGAGAGTGAAAATTAATGAAATAGAATATCAATAATTAATTAATAGAGAAAATCAATTAAAACAAAATGTAGACTTCTTAAGAGATCAATAAATTTGATAAAATTTTAGCTACGCTGATCAAGCAAAGGATATAAAACAAAAATTAATAATATCAGGAATGAAAGAGGGGTAGTCATTACAGATCCTACAAATATTGAAAGAATAATAAAGGAATATTATGAATAACTTTATGCTGATAATGTTGACAACTTAGAGGACCTGGAAAAATTTTTTAAAGATATAAACCAGTAAAACTTACAAAAAATGAAATAGAAAATCTGAATAGCCCTGTTTATTAAAGAAATAGATTTTGTTATTAAAATCCTTCCTACAAAGGAAATTTCAGGATAAAATGGCTTTAATGTTGAATTCTTCCAAACGTTTAAAGACAAAATATAGATAAACAGTGATGTTGAAGAAGTAAATTGGAGTGCAAGAGTACAATTTATTTAGAATAATTTTCAGTTCTTTTTTCCCTTGAATGCACAGAAACATCAGTTAATCTCACTCTTGAAATTCTCGGTTTTTGGCTTCTGTGAATTTCATGAATTCAAGAAATATTTACTTAATCTTTGACTACTGTGTCTTTAAATATTTCTCCTGAAAACAATTTATAATCCTTCTGTGATCAGAGGATCCTGATTTGTATTTTGACCACTTTTCTCCCAAGTCTGATCCTCCACTGCTAATTTTTTCTTATCTTTTCCTTTTGAAGATTTCCTGCCAGCATTTTATCATCTAGACTAAAATCTAGCTCCTTATCCTTCCCACTCCTTATTTATTCATTTCTGCCATCCTACTCCTGGTTCCGGGCTCAAAATTTTAGTCAGATTTGATTTGTGCTTCTTTCTTCTCTGTCCTTTCTCAAACCATAGAGATGCTAAATCAAATTCTTCCATTATCTTATCTCTTGATACTATTTTTAGTTTACTATTTCCACTGCTTGTGAAACCTTAACTGATCTTCCTATTTTCAGTCTCTCCCTGTTTTAGCTGTTTCTGTATACCACTGCAGTCTAAACTATCCCTTTCATTTGAGTGCATAGACTGGAATAATAATATTGATAATACCAATAACAATAGTAACAATAATAAAATACTTTTATGCCTTCTATGTTCTGTATAATGGAAACTGCACCATTTATGATTATTATCCCCTTTTTAAGATAAGTAATTGGAAGATCAGAAGAAATCAAACAGAGTTCCCAAGGCTACACAGCTAGTAAGTGGCAGAGCCAGAAATTGTAGAGGTTGGTTTGATTCCACATACAATTTATCATTTCCCTGGATATATTAAATAGTGAAAGGGACTGCTACTAATAATGTTTTGTGGGACAACAAATGTTAACTAGGACCAACTCAAGTGAACCAAGGCTTATAATATGCCACTAATACTATCCTCTATTTCCCCTCGAATAAATAAATGGGAAGATGGCAGAATATGGGACAAAGAAGATGTGTTAATTTTTGTACTTGTCAAGTTCAGGATGACAACAGGACAGCATACTGGAACATTTTAGTAGAGAGGTTGTATACACAGGACAGGGACTAGACAAATAAGAACTAAAGACACAAATCAAGGAATTAGCCTCATAAAGGATGTTGTTGAAGTCAATAATGGGCTCATCAGACATTTAAGGGAGAAGCAGCTCAGATGGTTGAGAATGGAACACTGGAAATTTGAAATATGAAAGGAATAAAGTCATAAAAATACAGAACAGGAGATTCCTCTATTAGACTGTAAACCCCTGTAAGGCATGAACTATTTCTTTTGAATCCCTTTACCTATCACTTTAATATGTCAAATTTACATATTAAAAACTAATTGAAAATTAAGTATAATACAGACCATATGACTTCTGATAGATTAATTTAATTTTTTTCCCATCCTTAGAATCTATTTGAAGTCATATCAAATGAAGACACTTCAGCTGCCATCTTTTTTCTTTGGACAGGCTCTCTGACTTTTTTGGTTGTGATTGTAGCTTATCCTTGTGTTTCTCTGGTGTGAATGGAATGAAGGGTACTACTCTCAGCACCACTCTGGTGTTGCTTAAAGGTCTACCAGATATTTGAGAGTTGCTCATGGGCATAAGGCATGTATTAAAAGATGTACCACATTGTACATACATTTTCCACATGAGTATGCTATAATCCAGGTATCACTTATATTTTAATATCAGCAGTAAGTAGAACAAGGAATCCATTATACAGAGATTCAAGTTTTGGGAAAGAGATAGTTCTGTGACAAAAGTAACTTAATCAAAAATCTTTACTTCTATGTTTCTCTCTGCCTGCATGGGAGCAAGTCAACAGTGAAAATGACTTCAGAGAGGCCCTGGTTCACTTGAAAAAAAACCTTGATGCATTTGAAATGAAATTTCCATGGGAAACCATCTCCGAAGTGACAAAACCCTCAGAAGAATTTTCCCTGGTGTTGCAACATGCATACAAGAGCTCTCTAAGATTCCTAGAAAAAAGTGAACATTTAATGAACCCTTAAGTTCTTCTTTGCCCCTGGCTCTCAAGGAGAGCATACTTATGGCTTTTATCTTAATTTTTTGATAATGGATTGTTTTTCTCTATTTTTGAAAAATGTGTAATGGGTTTGAGAACAGGGATTGGGATTCATTAGAGTCACTCTGGGCCATGGACAATTGTCAGTGTTAATAGACAGATGAGAAACTGTCATTACTAAGTCTTAGCTGAGGGTGAGCAAATCCTCATTGATGAATGTGCACATGCTCATAAACACACAGGTCTGTGTGAGGTGATTTTAGTTGGACTTGCATGTAAGAAGATGGACTTCTGCTTTTGTGTTTTGATTTCATAACTTTTCAAAGAGGACTCCAGGTCTTAACTCTGAGCAAAAACATATATAACTCATGTGCTAACTGAAATTTGACTATATAAAAGCCCCTGATAAGGAGTGTAGAATGCAAGTTGCCATACACAATTTTATATACTCTTTATATCATTATCAGTCAATAAGCTACACTGTGTGACTTGTGATTGTCTAAACCTCAACAAGGTCTTTTGCTCCTCTATCCTGTTACTACAGTCACAATTTTCTTCCTCAGAGCCAGTATTTTGGGTTAAAGTATTGTGTTTAAAGTGCAGGACAAAAATGTGATGTCTTGGAAACATGCTGCATTAAGCCATGGAAGTCCAACATTTTATTCGAGTAACTGCTTTTCAGGTCTCTTTCAAGTCATTGCTCAAATGTCAGATTACGCTATTTAAAACTGAAATCTGAACGCTTGCCTTTTCTGTCCTTCTCCCTTGCTTTCCTTTTCTTCATAGCACTTTTCATGTTACAAGATTTACGTCTTTCTTTCATGTGTTTTCTGTTTTCTCCCACTTGAATGAAAGCTCCATGAGTGCCAGAATCTCTTTGGCTTTTGTTTTTTTACTAAAGAATCACCAGGACTTACAACAGTTTCAGGACAGGGTGGATGCTGAATTGGTAGTTGTTGAAGAAATGCTATTTTTATTCAAAGCCTTCCATCAACTCCCCATTATCCAACATATTGGCTGTATAGTCCATTCTCTGCTGTTAGGTCTGGACAAAAAAGTTGTTATTTCTTATCTGACAAGTATTTGTTTTTAATAATCAAGCTTAAACTGCATGGTAAAGTAGTGGAGAAAAATTAGAGAATGTTTATTTGTAAGCTTGGAGAAGGTGCAAATAATTCTTGGTATATATTAGATGTGATTGAAATAATGAATATCTTCCTCTGAAATCCAATATCCTTAACGTTACCTTTTTTGGCTCTAACTCTTTCTGCATTTCATTAAAGTTATGTAAGTACTTGTTTTTATGTATAGAGTCTCGTGAGAACCTAGTAAGTAAAAATGCTGCTTCAGAGAGTTCATCCGTTGCTCAGAGGGAGGTAGTGTAGCATAGTGATTAAAACTAAGAATTTTGGAGTTGGATAGACTAGGATTTGACTCAAGATTCTGAGACCTACTACACCTGTGTGCTCCTCACCTTTAAACTGGAGATTAATAGATCTAACATATAAGGTTATTGTGAGGAATAAACAAGGTAAAATGATCTGCGCATTGCTTTAGATACCTGGTGTCAGTAGGCTGTTGCTGGGTCAGAAACAGTGTTTGATGCACAGTGAGTACTCAGTATAAGGTAGCAAGAATTATTTTTCCCGCAGTGCTTTGCTCTTAATTGTGCTTAAAAAGATGTAATCTGAATAAAGGAATAGGTCACTAGAAGTCACGTCAAGAATTATCAAGGGTATAAACACACATTTCTTCTTCCTTAGGGAAGGTGGTCTCTGGAGCAGCGATCTTGAGGGAGTATCTCTAACTAGGTCACTGAGATCTCTAATCCAGAATAAAACTCTTTAGTCTCTGGGTATCCTTGGGCATTAGGAAATGATGTTCTCTCATCCCCGGAAGCTGGACAGTTGGCTCCGATAAAGCTGAAAGCAGACATCACGTTCTTCAGCTCAGGAAGAGAATCAAGATAAACTAGAGATTTTAATCCTCAAAGTAGAGAAACAGAAGCAGAGGGGTATGAGCTCCAAGTTGTCATCTTGTTTTCACCAGGGCCATTTGAGTTTCCTTGACAGAGATGGATCAGAGCCAGTAGAGTACAGCACTGTGACTCCAAGCACGAAGAGGGAGAGTGCCTGCCTGACCTGTTCTGTCCTGTAGCAGATGGATAAAAGCTCAAACCCTGGGAGTGAGACCGCCTGAGTTCAACTTCTGCTGCAACTTAGTAACATTGGGACTTGCATACCCACTTAAGCCCAGTGTCCTCATTTGTCAAATGGGGATAATCATAATGCTCTTCAGCATTTAGAACAATGCCTATCTCATAGTTAGTGCTCAGTAAATGTTCTTGTTCTTTTCTTCTCCAACTCACCCCCTTAAATTCCATGGTATGTAGCATCTCTTTCTCTCAGTGACTCTTTTCTTTCTTCCCCTCACAGACTCTCCTAGAGGAGAATGACGGCAGATAACACCTCCTCTGTGACAGAGTTTATCCTCACAGGCTTAACAGACCAGCCAGAACTGCAGATCCCCTTCTTCTTCCTGTTTCTAGGTTTCTACGTGGTCACCGTGGCAGGGAACCTGGGTTTGATAACCCTGATTGGGCTGAATTCTCACCTTCACATTCCCATGTACTTTTTCCTCTTCAACTTGTCCTTCATAGATTTTAGTTACTCCACTACCCTCACCCCTAAAATGTTGATGGGTTTTGTCTCAGAGAAGAACATCATTTCCTATGCAGGGTGTATGACTCAGTTTTTTTTCTTCTGTTTCTTTGTCTTTTCTGAATCCTATATCCTGTCAGCAATGGCATATGACCGCTATGTCGCCATCTGTAAACCACTGGTGTACACTGTCACCATGTCTCCTCAGGTCTGTTTACTCCTTTTATTGGGTGTCTATGGGATGGGAGTGTTTGGGGCTGTGGCCCATATGGGAAACATAATGATTATGACCTTTTGTGCCGACAACCTTGTCAATCACTATATGTGTGATATTATTCCTCTCCTTGAGCTCTCCTGCAACAGTTCTTACATAAATTTGCTGGTGGTCTTTATTGTTGTGACCATTGGCATTGGGGTGCCCATTGTGACCATTTTTATCTCTTATGGTTTTATTCTTTTTACCATTCTCCACATTAGCTCTGCTGAAGGCCAATCCAAAGCCTTTAGTACCTGTAGTTCCCATATAATTGTGGTATCTCTTTTCTTTGGGTCAGGAGCTTTTATGTACCTCAAACCACCTTCTATTTTACCCCTTGACCAGGGGAAAGTGTCCTCCATATTCTATACTGCTGTGGTGCCCATGTTTAATCCAGTAATCTATAGCCTGAGGAATAAGGATGTCAAAATTGCTCTGAAGAAAACTTTGAGCAGAAAAATTTTCTCTTAAAAATGATTGAGAAAAGGGACCCAAAGCTTTGTTTATAAATGTTTCTTTTATTATATTTTTAATGAGGGAAATAAATGCCTCTGCTTGCTCTCCTATGCTTATAAGAAATTTTTAGCTTGTTCTTAAGCAATATATTTCCTTTACTCCTTACTCTACCCTAACTGTTCCGATAATTCTTTAATTTATGAAAATTGTTTCCACTGTCACAGAGGATTACTCTTAATTAGGCGTAAGAAGTCATTTAATCCAGGCCCTCATATGACACACACTAGAGGCTCAAATACTTTGTAAGTTGCCCTACAAGGCACACACGTGAACAGTGCCAGAGCTAGGACTGGAATCTAGTTCCCTGAATTCTAATCCACTTTGCTCTGCTTTCCTCTTGCCATGCTTCTTTTTGAAGAAGAAGCTTAGCCCTGAGCTAACATCTGCAGCCAATTCTCCTCTTTTTGCTGAGGAAGACTGGCCCTGAGCTAACATCCGTGCCCATCTTCCTCCACTTTATATGTGGGACATCTGCTACCTGTAGCCGCCCCTGACATAGGAAGGGTTAATAATCACTGGAAAAAGCTTGCCAACAAACTGTGACCTGGAGGTGAGAAGGCCGGTTAGCCAATGACGGGTAAGACCCCCTGGGGGGACAACCTAAGCCAGGCGGTGGCCGCCCGGGGACAAACGATATCGATATCGGGAGCAAGAGGGACCGTTGCCTAAGAGACCTTGCCTGCTCTGAGTTAAAAATATAGGAGCACAGCGACAACATGATACTATCAAAACAGAGGCCAAGGGAGGGCTCCTTGAGAAATCACTAAGAATTCTTGGCATTCGCTAATTACTTCATCCAGAACACCTGTGTATGTTTAACAGATGTAAGCTATGTATATATTGAAACACTGGCTATAATAAACTCAGAGTGGCCATCAGCCCTCTCTGCATCTATCCTGATGTGTACATTGGATTGTGACACCGACACTACAGCATGGCTTGACAAGCAGTGCGTATGTCCACACCCCAGATTCGAATTGGCGAAGCCTGGGCCGCCAAAGCAGAATGTGAGAACTTAACCACTGTGCCACTGGGCCGCCCTTGCTATGCTTTCTTGATCCCTATTTTCCCTGGCAAATTTCGTTTCAAAGATTTTTATTTTTATTTTTGTATTTAAGGAAATCTAATTCTACTTACAGTGATGTCATACAACTTTTCAAGGGTTAATATTGGAACATCACTTTTGCAAGAATGTAGGAGATGAAACATTTGGTGATTTGGTCTTGGCAAAATGATAAAAAAAATGTTTTAAGATTTTTTTGGTGGAAACTAAAGTTCCATATAGAATCAAGCATGGTGTCCACTGAAGTGGTATGCAGAGCTCTGAGGACCGAGGCTAATTTGTTAGACCTTCTAAGGGAGAGATATATAGATTTAAGGGAGTTAAAGATGTGAATTCAAGCTTCACTCTTTATTTCTAGACTAATAAGATAGAATTTGGAGCCTCACTTCAAGGAGCTGAATGATGTAATTGACTAATAGCTTTGGGTTGAAGTGAGCCATTAGAGCTCTGCCAACCAACTAGTTTTTAGGGAGGGAGTTGCCTTTGAATTTTAAGGCATTGCATATAGCTGTGATCTTTTAATTCAGGGCACAGCAAAAGGATGGTGGTGTCAGTTATGTATTCACAGTATTGGGCAAATGGAGGTACAACTTTATATAAAAACTCAGAGAACAATTTTTTGATCTGAACACATTCTTAGTGGTAACAGTTCTTTTAGAAGCAATAGTGTGTGAGCTGTTTGCAAGATACTTCAACTTAGGAACTTTTCTTAGGAAAGTTCTCTGCTATTAGAAAAAAAAGAAAGTTTGGAAAAATGTTTAGTTTTGTTCTTTGGAATGGTTGTTCAATGAGGCTGTAATAACAACAATGTAATAAAAGGAAAAAGTGTAGGGGAAGACTGTGCTTTAGAGGAGATAGTAGAGGGAAGATCTCTGAATTCAGGACATTCAGGGTTGAGGGTGAGGTAGGGGTAATGGAGAATCAGTACGATATTGGTAGTGAAAAAACAATCCCACTCCCTTCTAAGTTGAAGTATGAGTTATATGCAGCAAACATACAAATCTTAAGTCCTCAATGAATTTTTTCACATATATAGGGCTATGTAACCATGACATAGATCAATATATAGAGGATTTTCATCATTTCAGATTATTCCTGCCTGCCCCTTCCCAGTAAATATCATTCTTCACTCTCTTTTTGCATGTATCTACTATTAGTACTTTTATCATTAGATTCATTTTGCTCATTCTTGAGCTTCATATAGATGTTAAATATTGCTTTTACTTTCTTGTATCTAGCTTCTTTCTCTCAATATAGAATGTAGTGTTAGATTCATCCATAACATTTTGTGTATAAGTAACTTGTTCTTGGTTATTGTTGTTTAGTATTCCATTGTATGAATATAGAGCAATTTATTTATCAATTCTCTTAATGGACATTTGGCTTGTTTTCCTTTTTTGCATATTATTAATAAGGCTTTCATGAACATTCTTGAACATGTAGTTTCCTTGAAATTTACATTCATTTCTCTTGGGTCTATACCCAGAAGCGGATTTATCAGGTCACGGGATCAACATACTTCTAAGCTTATTAAATATCACTAAACTGTCTTCCAAAATATTTAAACTAATTTGTACTCCCAACGGTTTCCAGGTAAGGATGCTCCTCATTCATCTGAACACTTGTTATTTGCAGTCCTTTTCATTTTAACTACTCTTTTGGGTGTGTAGTGCAATATAACTTTTGTCTTGTTTATTGTTTTTTTTTTTTTACATTTCTTTAGTAAATAATGATGTTGAGCATCTAGTATATTTTTAAAAATTTTGTTATCACCATTTGTGAAATGTGTTTTCAAGTCTTTTGCCCACTGAAAAATAGTGTTAGTTTTTTTCTTATTAATTTGAGTTTTAAGAAAGCATATTCTGGATATGAGTCCTTTTTCAGACATATACATTGTAGTTATTTTTGCTCAGTCTCTGGCTTGCCTATTCATATGGCTATTCTTAATGATGTTTTTTGGTAATAGATGTTTTAATTTTAATAGAGTTCAATTTATCAACTTTTTTCTTTACTGTTAGTGCTGTGTCCTGTTTAATCTTTTCCTATTACAAAGTTACAAATGTATTTTCATGTTTTCTTTTGAAAGCTTTCTTGTTTTTCTTTTAATATTTAGATTTTTGAACAATTTCAAATTAGTTATGAATGGTGTGAGGTATCTACTAAGTTTAATTTTTTTCATGAAGATATTAAATTACTGCCAGACCATTTATTGAAAAATCCATCTCCCCTCTTTAAATTGTATTGGCTGTATTTATATGGATCTATTTGAATATCAGGTGACAATCTTTCTGGGAGTAGTAAGGGAGAAGTTGGCACACAGCCAAAGTGCTGTATTCTGCCAGTACAATGTTGATAAAAGTGGTAAGAATAGACATTATTGTCTTGTTTTGAAGTGGCCATTATTTTTATTCCTAGGGATTTAATATCTTTTATGCTTTTTAAATGTTTTTAAAATTTCATTTTAATTGTTTATTACCAGTACATAGAAATATAATTGATTTTCATATATTGATTTTGTATCCAACAACCTTGCTAAGTTCATCTATCCATTCTAATTATTGTGTTCACACAAGAGGAAAGAGAATATCTTATTTTTTTAAATTTCTGTATACACAATTATGTCATCTGCAAACAGATTCGATACTTTCTTAATTATCTTTTATTTTCCTCATTGTTCTAAGACCTCCAATACATTGATGAGTAGAGGTGAGAATAATGGACATCCCTATCTTATTTCTGACCTTAGAATAAAAGCATTCAGGCCTTTACTACTGAATATGATGTTTGCTGTAGCTTTTTGTTTTTGGTAGATAGCAATAATCAGATTGCTATCTACCAAAATGATGGATGATTAAACATTACCCTGATACCAAAACCAGACAAGGACAACATATACAAAAAAAACCACAGGCCAATATCACTGATGAACATCCATGTAAAAATCCTCAACAAAGTACTAGCAAACTGAACACAAAAATACATTAAAAAGATGATATACCATGATCAAATGGGATTTACCCCAGGGATGCATGAATGGTGCAACCTCCCCAATTCAATCAAGGTAATACACTACATTAACAAAATGAAGAATAAAAATCACATAATCATTTCAACAGATGCAGAGAAAGCATTTGACAAGATACAGCATCCATTTATGATGAAAACTCTGAATAAAATGGGTATAGAAGGAAAGTACCTCAACATAATAAAGGCCATATATGAAAAACCCATAGCTAATATCATTCTCAAAGGAGAAAAATTGAAAGTTATCACTCTAAGAACGGGAACCAGACAAGAATGCCCACTTTCACCACTCTTATTTAACACAGCACTGGAAGTCTTAGCCAGAGAAATCAGGCAGGAAAAAGAAATGAAAGGGATCCAAATTGGAAAGGAAGAAGTGAAACTGTCACTATTTTCAGAAGGTATGTTTATATATATAGAAAACCCTAAAGAATCCACTAAAAAAACTTTTAGAAACAATAAATGAATACAGTCAAGTTGCCAGATACAAAGTCAACATACAAAAATCAGTTGTGTTTCTTTACATTAACAAAGAAATAGCAGAAAGAGAAATTAAGAATATAATCCCATTTACAATTGCAACAAAAAGAATAAAATGCCTAGGAATACACTTAATAAAATAAGTGAAAGATCTATACACTGAAAACTAGAAAACATTGTTGAAAGAGATTGAAGAAGACACAAACAAATGGAATGATATTCCGTGCTCTTGAATTGGAAGAATTAACATAGCTAAAATATCCATACTTCCTAAAGCAATCTATGAAAGTTCCAACAACATTTTCACAGAAATAGAACAAAGAATCCTAAAATTTATATGGAATAACAGAAGACCACGAATAGGCAAAGGAATCCTGAGAAAAAATAA